TGTTTTCAACCCAGTGATTCACTTGACGGTAATTCAATCTGGCCAAGCATTCAGTTTTGATGGAATGATGCATCGGGTATAATGATGAATGGCCGATTTGCGTTTAGGACTGAAAATGTCCGTCTTTTCAAGTCGCTCCACTATTCAGTCTACTGGCCAAAGTTCACGGAAAGCTATGCGATTTGACGGTTAGGATTAAGGTTAGAACTTTGCTGCTATCGTCCACTGAATCGATTTTCACTACTCTTCCTATCCGTGGCAGTTTTTCGGTGCAAGTTATATCACCACGCTCCGGATGATTTCACACTACGTATCATCACAAAACGTTTCGTTACAATATATCAGGGTGGATCTACTTGTTTCATATCACAGTCGTTTTCAAACCATGAGAATTTCGTTCTGTCGATGTTTTCTCATCTTCTTTGGAGGTTGAACAATCCGAACTTTCCCGTTGATTTTACATTCTACACTGTCTTCAGTGTGGTCAACAACTTTAGTCGATCCCATCCATGACCTGTCAATGCCTGTGTTTCCTGTTGCTGTTCGCCTAAATCAGAAGAATAACAAAAGTTGGTAGATTCAATCTTCGGTTATTTCCCCTGACCCTAACGGAATCAACGTCCCCCTCCAAAAGAAAATTGAAAATGGCATGCGACGTAGGAAAAGTTCAGTCGCTCATTGGGGCATCTGATACACATGTCACGAAATAGACTGCCACAGTGTGATGCTTTCCAAGGCAGTTAAGGGATAGGAAAAATTCAAGGGCGATCAAACAAAGACCTAGCACAGGGGTATGAAAATTCTGACCAGGAGATTTGCTCGCATAGTTCGCGTTAGTGAGCTTTCTGACCGGTGGCCTCAGGATTGCGATAACCGATGCCTATAGACACCAAGTGTTGTAGACAGTGGCGATCACACATTTGCATTTGTTTGCAACCGTTGTCTACCAGAGCTCTCTGTTTTCTCTTTGATACCGCGTGCAACATTTCAACCTTCCTTCTGCTCTCACCTAACCAAAGTCACCGCAAGAAGGTGCATGGTTAATGGTTTGTAGAAAATGAACTGTGCTAAAATCCGGCTTTCGTTAAAAAATTTAGTCCTAATTACACACTTCACCTTTTGTTCGCCTATTCCGTTGTTTCTCGTGTGTGTGTTCTCATTCCTAAGCACTTTTGTGCCCAGACTAACTTGGCATACAGCCTAAACTAGTTAGGCCGATGTAAAAATATGTATGTGCAAAACTTGATTGTAGTGTATCTTGGAGTTACTCAGCTAATTGAGGGCACTCTCAAGCAAGCGCTCTTGAAACCACATATTCAGCAGAAAATTTAGTTTCGGTTAGAGAGTTCACGATACTGTTGGCAACCTGTAGGAATTCGTGTGCTAATTTATCCAACCAACCGGGGTTTTTCTCTTTCATACCCATACACGAATCCACACTATTTTCCTCCTTCTCTAACAGGTGTGCAAATCATTCCTCATACTCGAGATGTGCCGAAACATTCTGTTTACTCGGTCAAACTAAAACCAATTATGGCCGCGTTACGGGCTTTGAAAATGTGTATCAGTGGGAATTTTATCAATTTTGGCGTGTTCAGCCTGTTCCAAGACGACTCGCTGGAAAAAGCCATGCAAATGGGCGTGCAACTTATGCTCTCGATCGATCAAACGGACCTTCAGGTTAGCGATCTGTTTTGCCGTTGCATTGTGAAACACTTGTTTCTGGTATGAGTTCAATTCAACTTACTCATCAACCAATTTTGTCCCCCCCCCCCAAACATTTTTTTTTGATTTGGTGAGAAATAACGGGATGATAGCTTGATGCATTGCATCGCACTTTTGTGTTGCTGTGAGATGATGTAAATTGGATCTTTCTTTTCCTGACCCAGCCCGATTCGACGTATCTACCAGGACCATACCCTCAAAATAATTGAACCATCTCGTTAGGTGACACTAGGGACCGTGGGCTACTACAGATTTATACTTCCAGACCTACAAATTGACACTTTCAAGCTAGATCTTGCCAAAGCCAAACTAGGGATTGTTGAAAGAAAATTACGAATTGCCTAAACAAGGCACTGTTCGCCAGACAACTCTCCCCCAGTGCAAAACTTAGACAAATTAGTGTTGCATCAGATACTTATGGACACATTTGTTCATTCTCTCGTCCTTGCTCCCCCATAGTCCTTACGTTCCAATAACGGATCTCTCGACACCGTTCGTAAACTGCAGCTTGCGCAAACGGGCTAACTTTGACCTGTCGTGTGCAGTACACTAACAACAAAGTAAACCTAAGGTCGCCCGCGCTTATCCACACGACGATTGTATCGCGTGAACCCTAACCGCCTCGTTTATTCATTGCTAAAGGCTTATTAGACCGCAATCTTGGTTCTGTCGGACAGTTGTTTCACCCTGACGCCTATTTCTGTCAGGCTAAATATGACACTCCGGCGGTCTCAAAAAGACCCCACAGCTGAACAAGCTTTCATTGGAAATGGAACCATTGTAATAGTCCAACCGTGTTCCCGAATGTGCACACATCAGTAACAGGTGAACTGACCACTATTATCGATGACGAAGTTTATTGCAGTCCTACTAGTGATATATTACCCTCTCAATTCCAGACACGCGAGTGAAACAAGAGTAAAACTCCAATTTATTTATCTCCTTGTTAGGAACAAACGGAGCATGGCGATTTCCGAAAATATATACCATTTCAAAATCTATTTGGAAAGGCATCATTTCAATTTGGAAAACCCACAAGTTGAATTTAAGAATAAAACGCCGTGGTCGGATCCGCATTTGTCGATAGATCGCACATCTTTCGATCGCAGATCCAATCACTCCTGAAAGATCAAGGGGTAGAGGCCAGACGAAGCTCAGTCTCACAAAGCCAGCTGCTTGGGCACCTCTTGGATTCCTTCTATCCACACTCGCCTCTGGAGAGGTCACTCCAGCAATTAGACATGGTGAGGAGCAGTTTACCGGTCGAAGGGCGTAGGAACGGCGTACCTGGGGTGGGAGAAGTCTTCGCACTTCATTGGACAGCCAATCCCGAAAACAGCGGACCGATAACGCATCAGCGAACAACACAATTACAAGACCCATCGATTGTCACTCAGCGTTTCACCAACAAATCCAAACAGTCAGAAGTTACAGCATCTTCAAGCCGAAACTCTCTTTTCACTTAACCGCGTTCAATTTCTGCACACCATCAGATCGGTCAACAAGCTGCCTTAGCTAGAACCCTTGAAACTTTCAATTTAGATGTATGTTGCGTCTCCGAAACACGCATACAAGACCCCACTTCCATTATCTCCCTGCGTTCTCCTGATCCAACCTCACGCTTCACCCTTCGTGTGTCAGGCGATGCGGTGTCCGGAGCTCGCGGTGTTGCTGTAGTCGGGATTGCGTTAAGTGTCGAGGCTGAGCGCTCGCTTCTCGACTGGATTCCAGTCAGTCAGCAGACTGTGCACCGTATTTCTCAACGGATCAGCACGGGTCAACAGCTACAAAACAAAGCGTCGATGCTTGTTCGTTGTGTCCGTGTATGCACCGACTGATTGCAGTACACCGGAAACCAATGATGGATACTACAAGGATCATACTCGATTACTCCAAAGCGTTCGATCAACGGACATCGTGCCAATCGCCGCAGACTTCAATGATCAATTGGGATCCCTGGACTAATCAGAGAAGCTTCTTGGTGTGCCACATACCATCCCAGCTGACCAGACGCACAACGGTAACCGCCTACTTCAACTCTGCGCGGAACACAGATTGCTCCTGTCAAGCACGAACTTCTCGCACAAGAAACGATGCCGCCCCACTTGGAAACCGCCAACCTCTTTACAGCGCTGGATCCAAATCGACCACATCGCTATCTGTTTGTTACCGCTGGAAGGGATCGATTCACGACTGCCGGTCTTACTGGTCAACACCTGTGGATACGGATCACGCTTTGCTACGAGCCAAATTCTCCTTACGCCTGGCAAACAACCGTAAAAAGCCACCGAAAACGGATACCTATGATACGATGTCAGCGATTTTTGCAAATCAGCCTTCGAAACGGAACTCTCCGATCGCCGGTCAGTTCAACCACCAACCGAAGGACTCAATGAACACTGGAAGCAAATCAAGGAAGCTATGCAAATATCAATAAAAACAACGTCAAACCGTCACGAAGGCTCAAAACATAAACGATGGATCTTATCGACCTCGGCTGCTCTGCTGGACGCCCGCAGAACCCTTCCTCCCGATGCCGCAAATGACACAGCGCGCAAATCCCTCAAATGCCAGCTCATCAAGAGCCTGAAGAATGACTGCGAGAAGTGGTGGATAGCAAAGTGTAGAGAGATGGGGAAGGCTGCAGCTATTGGTAATAGTCGCAATCTTTTCCGTATAATTAGGAAAATAAGCGTAAGTGAGGTAATTCGGGAATCCGATGGCACACTGATTCACGATCAGCAACGGCGTCTTGATCGATGGGCTGAACATTTCGAGGTTCAGTTCAACTGGCCCCCATCGACATCTGAGCTATCACCCTCCATCGCGACTGCGCCATTTCTGCCAGTCCTCCTTCTGAAATGAAGGTTTCCCGAGAAATAAGTCACCTCAAACGGCATGAGGCTTCCGGCCTCGACAGGCTGTCCCCATCCGTTTTTAAGAATGTAGGCTCAGCCTTGGTTTTGGAGTTAACGAAACTCCTGGGCTGAGTGTGGGAAAAGGAACAGGTTCCAACTGAATGGTGTGAATCAGTGATCATACTGATTTACAAAAAAGGTGACAGATCCACCTGTGTAAGCCACAGGAATTAGTTTAATCAGCATTGCATCGAAACTTCTCGCTAGTATCATAATCCACCGATTGTCTGCCGCACGTGAACGGTGTACGCATGAGAACCAGGCCGGTTTTATACCTGGTCGAGGTTGTATCGACCACATTTTGCACTCTCCGGCAAACACTGAAGCATCGACATTCTTTTCGTAGACCCACCGTCTCTATCTTCCTGGATCTGAAAACGGCTTTGCACTCAGTCTACCGCCCCAAACCCTGGCGGTGTCTTTCTCTGAAGGGAGTGCCCGAGAAGTTTATTTCAATATTACGATCCATCTACAATAATAGCCGAAGCCGAGTCCCAGCTTACGGCGCGTTTTCACCCGAGTTCACTACGCAAAGTGGTGTTCGACAGGGTTGCGCTCCCTCTCTTTTACTATTCAACTTTGTTATAGATCTGATTATCGAAACAGCCCTATCCTCGTGCAGGGATAGCGGTATCGATTTACTTGCGGGTGGCTGACTGTATGATCTAGAGTATGCAGACGACATTGTGCTACTAAGTAAAGATCCAGATAAGTTACAAGCTTTTCTGGATAGTTTGAGTGCTAGTGTAGCCATGTTCGGTATGCGTTTTGCACCTTCAAAATGTCAAATGCTACTACATGATTGGGTTGGTTCAGCACTCAGTCTCACTCTAACTGGGGAAATAGTAGAGGAAGTAGACAAATTTTGCTATCTAGGCCGCTATATCTCCCCTGGTGGACGCGTCACAGATGAAGTGTCCGGTCGCATACAAAAGGATCGATTGGCATTTGCCAACTCGAGAAATCTGTGGCGCCGTCGCGAGATCCGGCTGTCTGTGAAGGGTGGAGTGTAAGCTGCAGTAGTTCGGCCAGTTCTGCTATATGGAAGCAGAAATTCGCCATTAAGAAAACAGGACATGAGTAGACCTCGGGATGGTCGTACCCGATTGTTAGAGACACTGAATGATATGGCTGGGTGTCGTAAACTGTGGTGTTCTTGCATCTTCTCCATTTCTCCGTATCATTATTCCACTGAACTTTTAAATTTTCTCTTCGAACCTACTCTCAACCTTTCCTGTCTTTCTTCTAATGTTCATCCGAATGGGCAGCCGAAAGATAGCAACCAAAACCGGCGCACGATAGTGCATGTTTAATGATTGTACAAACTGAATGTGGTAGGATTATCACCACTGAGCTCCTCCCCTTATAGTCTCTGAGTGTTCATGCTGTAGCCAAAATGATGCACTTTTCATTGTAGGGCTTGTTTATAGCCTCAGCTGAATTTATGTGACCAGGCTGTCCTTCAGCAATGACCTGGCAACCGCAAACAGTTATGCCTTACTTGTTGGTCGCCCTAACAGCCTCATGAATTCGGACATTGTCGGTTCAATAATCAATAGAGCAGAACAAGACCGAAGAAGGGATGAGATGTTCAAGTTTATAAAAGGTCCCCTGTGCTTTCACACTTTCGCAGACTGAAATACCTCGGTAACTTAGTTTTGATAGCCATACGCACGATAGGGGCAGCAGAACGAAGTCCAATAAAGTAGCAATGTTTATCGACAGTAGTAATAATCCTGGTTCTAAAGTCATACAGTAATAATGAGGCATAAAAGTGACTTACAGCCAGGTGAGCAACGAAATTACAGAGCAAGAGTAACAGTCCGTGACAGCAATGGTAGAAACAAGATGTACCCGGCAGACAGCTAAGCGTAACAGTAGCGCAGTCGTGAAATTCAAATTGAGAGACGTTGCGGTACGGTATGGAAAAGGCTTACAATGCACTTTAGTTCCGGAATAAAACGACAGAGAAGAAAATTACAATGAGTTGAGGTGAAATGTAGTAAATGCTAGCAAGTCGGAATGCGATACAAAGATGCGGTGTTGATCAAAGTTATGCGTATCAGAGGGCAGCATTAACAAAAGCAGTAAACAATAACCCGGCAAGCGTGTGTGGTGTGGGGGTAAAGTGCGTTTTCACTCTTAGAACAAGCGCTCAGAAAACATTTATGCCAATGGGAAACTTCAACCTTATGGGTAAACAGTTGGAAATAACAGCATTAAAGGTCCGGTAACTACACTAGCAGAATATACAAATTTCACGTCGTGGGATGCACAAAAAACGAAAATATAACTGTTGGGGAAATAAATGTTGTTTGCTTCTTATGAGTAGTCTAATGGACACGGGAAGAAACATCTAATAACGAATAGTAATTAACGCCCCCCTTGGCAAAATAAAAACAGAAAATATAGCATTAAAGTGGATAAGTTTTGCACATGCTCGCGGTTAGTGAGAGCACACACACTAAGCGAACACGTGTTGACCACTGCGTGAGCATTAAAGATTAATTCCAATGATCTCCAACTAGCAGCGCAAAATACTTCGACGGAAATAAACAACGCTCTTTTGAAGATTTTTCAAAAATACGAATACTCTCTAGTTATCACCAAAATGAAACAACGTAGCGTATTGACTGCGCGTTGTACTCCTTCGAAATCGCATTCAAGTCGAAACTATGTAGACAAAAATTTCCATGGTCACGTACCATTAAAAGTAAGTAAATTAGAGAGTGCTAGAAAGCCAAACCTGCAAGACAAGAGGACGGAGCTCAGAGTCCGTAGTCCATTGGGGGCCGGTGTCCAGTTCATCGGATCATAGGCCCTTTGGACGAGGTCAAACGTCCAAGGTGCCCAATGGAGTCGGTGACCACTACCACAACCAGGCTTGTCTTCATGGTCGGTTTGGAATCATGGTTTTTAGTCAGCTTCCCTAGGGGAGTTGCCTGTGTTTCTCCAACTCGGATTTCTCCTTTAGGAATAGTTATCAACGACGATAATGCCTTCCAATCCACACTGTTACTATTATCATATGGCTGCAGATAGTCAGCTACCTGAACTCTCACAATAGATGAAGGAATAGGGATTCAACCACACATTCAACTCATAAAGTTCTCCAGTTCAAAGTGATAGTTTTTCAAATCAAATTTGAAACGGTATAATTGTCTGTTTTATCGTTGGTACACATGCAAATTAAATAAACGGGGTGGATTGACGGAGGAAAGAGTTACGGTCACGGTAACAAAGCCGTTTCATGGGTTTTTTTGCGAAGTGGTACTCACATATCAATCACGCTTTTGTGTTTTACATCTGATCTGATCGCCTCAAACGCAGCTTTCTTCCCTTAAAACAGTTGTCCGCTTTTTCTCTCTCGGAGATCTTGACACCCCCCTCACTTTTTAAGGAACTTGTGTTGATTGTGCACTTATGGTTATTACTTGCGCACTAGGCTCTGCCCTACCTTCTATTTGCAAACGAGCAGGTTTCACTGCACATCTTTTACACGATGATCGCGCTGACTG